AGCCCCAAAGCAATCGGGGTAGCAACAAAGGAATGCGTAGGCCTAGAGTCAAACAAGACATCAACACAAGTACCACCAATGGTAACAGTACCTCTAACAAGGTTCGGAGCTCGATCCGACTGCTGACGATCCAGAGTATAAACTCTCCCAGAAGATGGTGGCACTGCCGGTGCCGAAGTAGGTGGAAGGGGAACCTTCTGTAGCGGCACTGCCTGAACTGCAGCCGCTCTCGCCGTCGCCGACGGACAATCTCTGGAGAAGTGGCCCTCCTTGCCACACTGAAAACAAATCAACTGACCGTTAGAACACGGTCCAAAATGAGTCTTCCCGCATCCCGAACACCTGGGAGCAGGAAGTCTCACTGCACTCCCCTGAGCAGAAGTCCTCTTAAACTGATTTGGCGCCTGCCAAGTTGCCATCTTCTTTCCTTTACCCTTGTTCCCAAACTTCCTGTCTCTCCAAGAAGTGGAACTACCAGCTGCTACCTTCGTCGCCTCTGCAACCTTGGCCTTCTTGGCCTTACTCGAGTCGTAGAAGTCCTCGATATCACGACACTGTTGAACCAGTGTCCCAAGGTCTCTAGAAGCAGAACCAGCAAGGTAACCAGAAATGTCCTCACTAAGCCCTCTGCAGAACTTAGCAGCCAAGAATGTAGGAGTAGGTCTCGCCATCCTGAAGTGTGCAAACTTCACCAGCTAGTTGAACTTGGCCAGGTACTCGTCGACAGACAATGAGCCCTGAACCAACCTGTCAAACTCTCATTGCTTCCTCTCATGTGCATCGTAGGGGAAGTAGTGATCCAGAAAACATGGCCCTGCATCTCGTAGACGTGAGAAGTGTTCGTCCACCACTCATGGGCATCGCCCTCTAGCATGTAAGAAGCGAACATCAACTTCTGCGGATCGGAACACTGCATGACCCGAAAGATCTTGTCTAGCGCCTGAAGCCATCTTGCAGCAGCAATGGGATCATAAGACCCATGAAAAGTAGGTGGCTTATGCTTACGGAAAGCATTCAGCCGGCGATCAATCGTATCTCTGTCCTCAGCGGGCTCCACAAAAGGTTCCATCACCCCCAACATCATGCGTAGCACTACCAATGTGACTCAGGGTCTCATCATGAACACTAGGTGAAGGCAGCGGCGGCGGTGGCGGTGGAGGTGGTGGCGGAGGGAACTGACCAACAGCAGGACCAGCCCTCATCTCCTCCAACATAACCCGCATCAAGGTCATGTTCGCCAGCCGATTCGCCTCAAGAGCATCCTACGTGGCCTTCTGGTTCGCTTCTCTAGCAGCATCCATCATTGCCACGTTGGTCAATCTAGTGGCCTCCTGCATCTCAGCCAATGCAGTCAGGATTGGATCGGGTTGATCCTCAGCAGTCTCACGTGTTCTCCTGGATCCTACCATGACTCTGCACAAGTTACACAAATTATGAGTTGATCAGGCCCACGCAATGTGATCGCATATGCATCATCATAATAACAACCAACGGAGCAAACACACAAGCCAGACACAACCACACATCTTAATCATTGCAATACATACAGGCTTTTCCCTTGAACCGTTGCTCTGATACCATAAAATATAACACCCCGTATATATCCGGTAGTGTTATCATTACATCGTATTAAGCTACGCTTAATTAAAAATGCGGAATATTCTTTTTCTTTTCAATTATGACGTCATTATCAATTACCAACTTGATTACTTAATCAATTTCATAAAATATCGTCTGAATGTAAATTGCAATAAGACATCTACTGAAATACCTCAATATATAAATAACGTGAGTATCTAAATCACAGATCTACATCACGTAGTCCGAACAATATCCTGATACATTATTACAACTCCAAATAAAACTAAGACATAACTAGTCTATGTGTCATGGACAATCCTCATGCTCACCAAATCAACAGCGTCTCAACAAGATAATCATAAACATAAAAAGAAGCTCAAAGCATAAAAGCAGCATGCATATCCAGCATCCAACAAGTCAGCATATAATATCATCAATATCTAACTCAGCTTCGGCCTCCTGCCGCCTGAGCTCTCAACATTACCCGAACCTGAAATAAGCATTCCCCAAACGTGGGGTGAGATCTCTAAACAAGAAATCTCAGTAAGATAAGGGGTCCTCAAGGATCTTCCACCTCAAGCTCACTTACATGTGCAATATAAGCTCTAAAAGTGTTTATATCAATATCAGTTCCAAAACTATGCAGTGCAACAGATATTCATGCAATGTGTGTTTATCACTATTCTACTGGCCAGAGAAATGCAGGAATACGTCTATACCTACATGTAGTACAAGGAACACCGCTTGCACCTCACCCACAGCCTCACCACTTGTATGTACCACAAACTCAGGCTTACCGTATAGGTGGAACACCACATGCATATCATAAAGGCACTAGCATATAACAGCTCAACAGCATTTCCAAAACATCAAAAGCATGTAACACAGCATGCATATAACCATACCCCCATGGGACATGGTGGAACCACAACATGGCTAAACCGAGGACACGAAAGCTTACCTTGCAAGCTAACACCCAAAGCCAAGAGTCCACAGCTCAAAGTACAAACACAGCAGATTCACAATCTGTTATGGACCAATAATATATCATTAAACATGCATCGCAAGCATACAATATTAAGACAACGCCTTTCCATTACGTTTTACGTCTTAAGGCTTCACACAAGCCATGAGCCCTTAATCACATGATTCTGACTTAGTTCCTTAATTATAGAAGTTCAACTTCATCAATCTAGGGTCCACAAATCCCCAATATCCTACTGTACACATAGCACAACTACTGTTCTACGAAATCTCAGAATATCCGGATATTCCTCGGGGCATGTCCGGACATCCAATATCCGGATATCCATCTGGCAATATCTGGATATCCAGATTCCCATATTCGGATATCAATATCCGGATATTTCACGAGCAAATATCTGGATATTTCGCGACAGAATACAGTTTCTGCATTTCGCGAAGATATCCTTCCAAGGTTGGGTTTTTACTGATTTTAGACACTTAAGCATGCATTTCTAAGTGTGTTAAGCATTTCTCAACATTAAGTTATCATCTTTTAACCTTTACATGCATCAAGGTTCCATTTTTAGACACTTAAACTCAAGTTCAATGATAGAACCACTTACCCAAGCTTGAAACAGAACCAAGAGGTGCTCTTGGAGCTCTCCAACAAGCCTCAAAGTTCAGACCACACAAGGACACGGAAATGGAGCAACAAGTCTAGGTTTTTCTTCACAAAGGTTCACACTTGAAGCTCAAAATACCACTTCAAGCTCCCACAAAAAACCTCTCAAAGTCAGCACCTCCTCACCCTCAACCAAAAGCTACAACTCAGCAAGGAAGTCACTCACAACCTCACAAGACCAACCCACCCAAGGTGGTGGTGTTTAGAGATGAAGAGATGGTGTAAAGGTGACAACTTGGAGCATGAAATGGAGTAAGAAGGCAATGGAACAGTAGCACTAGTCCAGCCCCTCCAAAAGAGTCACATAGCAGCTGGTGGTTATCTAGGGTTTTGTGCAAAATGCACTTATATAACCACTTAAGAATAAAACACACAGTATTAAATTTAATTGCTACGCTTAGCATTTTAAACCCAAACTTTGGATTCTTAACCTACTCAATTTTACAAGAATTTTCATATTTTTATTATATTTTTCGGAGCACCTTTCTGGTACGCGCTTTTCATAGGCAGTAATAGTTTCTGGCACCAGTTCTCATTATTTTGACTTGAAACTCGTTTTACAAGTCCTACATATTATTCTAGTAATTATCATGCACTTATTATAATTTTTCGGGATACTTTTTGGGTACGCATTTATACTGACTAGCAAAACCGGTATCTGCACTTTTCTTCCGAAAAGCGACTTTCAGCATTCTTAATCACTTATAATAATTATTAAAGCCTCTTAATAATTATTAGAGTCAATTATGGAATCATTTCCTAATTTAATATAATTAATTACTTAATTTCTTTAATTAACGGTGCAGGTTCTTAGAGAAGCCTTGAAGAAAGGCGCTGTGTGTGAAGCTTTTAAGGAAAAAAACTGGCTCATTGTTATTATTTTCTTCTTCAGTGGAGTTGGTTTCAATTTGAGGTGAGGTGGGGGCGTCAGTGGAGCATGGCCATCATTTTCTTTTGGTACGGGGAAGGGTTGTTCTTTTGGGGTTCGTTTGGTATGGGGTATTTTTTGGAAACTGAATTTTTTTTAATTTTTAATTTTTGAATATTATCGTAAACTAAAGGTAAAAATTATATTTCTAAAAATTGAGATTTCCGAATAAAAAAAAATTCCTCCTCTATCGAACTAAATTTTGCTAAATTTTGGTATGTGGAGCATGGCCATCATTTTCTTTTTGAAATCCAAAAATATGTAGAAGTATTTTTATTTTTTTTACAATTATATTTTGCTAATTAAAGCACTTCAATAAAACGGTTACTGTAAACAATTTTCAATTAGAATCAATGCGAGCTGTAATTATATATTATAAATTATACGGGTTCTTTAATATTTTATTATGAATCATGTAAAATGATAAATACTTTTATATATATATATATATATAAATTTTATTTATCACCGTACATAATTAATGTATGGAAAAAGTGTTTGTTATTTTAAATGACAGAAAGTTATGTCATTTTAAGAGACATACAGACACAGAAAATTTGAATTTTAAATTAAAAAAAACCACACACTTTCTTTCTCTCATGATTTCCGTTTTTCTGTGTCTATCTCTCTCCTGAAATGACATAACTTATGTCATTTAATATTTTTTGATAAATTTTTTTAATTTAACCCCAAATCGTAACGTTTGATTTCCTTGAATTTAAGATTTATAATACTGTTCAATTTGACATTATATATTGTATTTAGTTATAGTAAAATATCCGTGTAAATTAGTCAATAAGGTTGTTTTTGTAACATTTGTCTTTGTTTCTTGTGATTATTTTGTGTATGCGTAGTTGAAAAGTTTGTTGTTCCCAGATAGTGCGGTTTGCCGGTTTGGTTAAACTGGAAATAGCAAATGGATTCCTTAGAAGACAGCGGCTGTTGGGATTTTCTCGATTACTCTTTCATCGATCATCCTCCCACCGATTTCCTTTGGTCCAACCACAGGTTTTTATTATTATTATTATTATTATTATTATTATTATTTCTTTTATCTTCATTTCATGTTTGCATTTTTCTTTTATTATTTTCTGTTTTCTTTTTTGGATTCATTGTTGATCTTGATTCACAAGAATTATATTATTGATATGGTGAAAGATAACATCATCCTTTTGTTATGGTAGTTCAAGTTTGTTCTCTCTCTTCTTCTTGTTCTTTTTTAGTTTTTAATTTTGCTGTTGCTTTTGTTGTTGATTTAGTGTTGTATCTTGAAAGACAATTTTTTGGAATCTGGTTTTGCATGGTTGAATTCATATGTTCTCATGCCCCAATTTCTGAAATTCAATTCAAATGCTTCATTAGCTCCCATATGTTACTTATTGTTGTAAGACTTTGTTTAATTACTCGAGAAAATGAAGATTTTTTTCTTTTTCTTTTTCTTTTTTACTATTTTCCCTATTACCCTTTTTTAATGGTAATCAATAGGATTGATTGTTCTTTGAAGGAGTTCAAGTTCATTTTTTTTTTATAAATTTTGAATTTTAGTTTTTGATAGAGGCTATGGTGTCGATTGATCTATGTTGCCAACCAACATAGTTGGATATGACATGGTTGTTGTTGTTGTTGCTTATTTTCTGTGTGGAAAACATGGCTGATACGATTTTGTTTTCTGTATTTGCAAGTGTGAGCACAAAATTTGACTTTGCAGGTGGTGATGTTCCAAATCAAGAGAACACCAGGAAAAGGTATCTTGTCTGTTACTTATCAAATGATTTACTATCTGAGAATGTGAGGATGGAATTACTGTCTTGAAATATTGTTCAAAATATGATTTTGATTCTATATAATATCTCTGTTAGTTGGAATATCTGTGGTTACATTATTAACAAGAAAAATCTTAAACTTCAAACTGTGCATGATGATTAGTACATGAATTTGGTTGAGTCTCAGTCACCTTATTCAGCCGCAGTTTATATACCTTTTTATTTTGTTTTCATGTAGAAGAATGATGCAATCTTTTTAATTATTTTACAGTTTGGTTTTTGTGATTAATTTCCTTAGAATCATTTGTAGGGGACGCACTGATTCTTGCTGCAAGGCTGGAACAAAAGCTTGCCGTGAGAAATTGCGGAGGGAGAAACTCAATGAAAGGCATGCATGCTTCTAAATGTTAAATTTATGGTTGATATCAAAGTTAATATTTAACAAGCTGGTTTTTTAGCATTTCGTATAGCTGTTTTAGTTTGTTCTGAACAACATTTTGCTACTTTTGTATGAGGAATGTATACACCGCCCTTTAATTTCTAGTTTCCTTTTGCTTCATACATTTAGTTTGTTTTTTATACACTGTCATTTTATATACTTGAGTTAGATTCATGTGTTTGCTACACTGATGTATGAAATTTGAAACTTTGTCATCCAAGATACTTGTTAGGCATAGGATCCCACCTATTACAGCTATTTTTTTTATCTCTTGAATGGATGGGGAATATGACATCTCTGAGCACAAGGCGATACCAACTTCCTTAAATTGCCAATCGTTCATTTCTTTGATGACTTCCTATTTTATGCCAAAAGTGATCTTAGTTCTTAGATACTCTAGATACCTGCGCATAGGAGATGCTCATGTATCATACACCTCCTCAATGTTTTGTGTTGTGTTTTGCTACTTCTTCTAATGATAAAAAGGGAAGAACTTGATTGGGATTATTTCAGGTTTTGTGACTTGAGCTCTGTTTTGGAACCTGGGAAGCCTGTGAAAACAGATAAACCAGCTATACTTGATGATGCTATCAGAGTCTTGAGCCAACTTAAAACTGAAGCTAATGAACTCAAAGAAACAAATGAAAAATTATTAGAGGAAATAAAATCTTTAAAGGTTAGTTTTGTTTCAACCATTTATCGTACTGTTGTATATTTCATTTCTCTTACTTTCCTTTTCTTGTATTAGTTTTCTTTAAAGTGTTGATTTCTTTACCTTTCATTCTTGAAATCTCACTGAATGGTCTTGGAAAAGAAAATGATTTTTATTTTGGTGCGACTGCTAGAAGCTTCATCTTTAAATAATTAATCTTTATCAAAGTATTTCTTTCTAGAGTCTAACGAGCATAAAAAAAAGTAGTAAGTCTGATAAGTTAAGGAAGTTTTGACCCCTAAATTCAAGGGTAATTAATTGGGTATTGATATTATGTGATTGATTGGAGCTTGATTAATGGTTGATATATTGATGACTAGTCGACTACACATAGCATGAATACAAGTGAAGGCTAGAGGCAATATGTGCTTAAACCTATAGCATTTATATGTTGTCTCCATCTCTCTTTAACTGTCTCACAGACCATTATTTGGCTCTATGACTGCCTTCTCAATGAAGCAAAACTGTGGAGTTGGCCTGTAATCTTGGCCTATCTAACTTGAATCACCGGTTGCCTTTAATTTCCTGCCAGATCTTACCAGTTTCTAGCTTACTATTCTGGGAATTGTCAGCCATTCCTACATATACCCATATTTCTGTTACATCTATGGACCAGTTTATCTTTCGTACTTGGCCATTTTCCCAAGGCCTGCTTTGCTTGGGGATTTTAAAACATCAATTTTGTGATCATCATATATCAACAATGGTGAGGCAATCGTAATTTATTATCAGGAAATATATTGTAGAATTGCTATTTATAGACAACGCTGAAAATTTTGTGCTGAAATACAGTTACGTCTCAAATGCTCAATAAATGGATAATCTTGTAGACATTGGTTGATGGCTAGCTGCTGGTATTACCTTCCATTGGGTGCTTATACATGTTATTAAGAAATTAAAAAATAATATGAAGTATGAAAACAAAAGAGGATCATTCCCAAAAAACAAAGAAAAATATAGCATGCTATTAAATTTAACTTGTATGAAAATGTGTCAGGTTTTGTACATGAGATAGCTGCATGAGGCCAAGATTATATAATAATATTTTTTCTACAACAGGTAGAAAAAAACGAACTCCGTGAAGAGAAAATTGTTTTGAAAGCAGATAAAGAGAGGATTGAGAAGCAGTTGAAAGTTTTGCCCATTTCACCAGCAGGGTTTATGGGTCCTCCAGTAGCTGCATATCAAGCAGGGGTGAACAAGATGGCTGTTTATCCAAACTATGGTTATATCCCAATGTGGCATTATCTTCCTCCATCTGCCACAGATACATCCCATGATCATGAGCTCAGGCCTCCTGCTGCATAGTTACTTGTATTTCTGATCTTTGGATATTTTTAACATTCATCATTTTATTTTACAACTTTGTCGAAGTGTTGACATGTAAATATTGTCATTGCTTCGAATTTTATTTTATTTTATTTTTTTTTAACTTAATATAGGAACATGTGCTAAATTAGGCCTACGATGGCAATGATATGAAAATTCTATTGATGTCCATTATAAATTATACCCAGTTCCTCACTTCCTTCATAGTATCTCATAAAATTTCCTTTGAATTTAAAAGGAAATTCTTAAGAATCTAAGGTGATGCTGGCATGGTATTTTTTATAGTTTTTTTTTTCTGGTAGATAGTCTTTTTTTCTTTTAATGTTATCGTTAAATCGTATTGTAAAATATTTTCGATGATTTAACAGAGTAGTACTTTAGTGCATGTAAACCATTTTTATTTATGCACTAGCCACATAAATTCAATACTGTACTTTTTACATAATTGGACCAAATATTAAAGAAGGAAATAGAATAAGCTGATGGTATCTCAAGTCAACATAACAATATCGGTAGATTATCTTGGCATGGCAATATCAGTAAATCACATGTACATTTGTTCTTCCCCTTTACAATCTGCTGCTATACCAAGTCTGGTTAAAACAAAGGAATGGTAAAGCACTACTCGGTTTCCTTTCCTATTAACACTTTGAAAAGAACATTTTTCAATAAGATGAACTTTTGTTGGATGAGAGAGTTCTTGTGGAATAGAGAGTAAGCTACCCTGCAGCTAATAGCCAAAGCATAATTAAAGATGATATTGAAATTGATATCCAGCTCACAAAGGCAGAAGCAACAGAAATCTGGTACTTGTGGCACTCCTCTCCAAAGTGACAGTGTTCCATATCATTGAAGTACAAAACTGTAATGCCAGCTGAGGCAGAAGTTGCTGCTAGAGATAGTGTTGCTTAGTGATCAAGAAATAAACTTTTTTTTTTTTGCATTACATGGGAATTGAACACACACCCTTACACTACATACACCTAACTCACACACCCCCCACCACTAGGCTAAATGATATACATCATAACTTGTTAAATGATCAAGAAATAAACTTGTTAAATGATATACATCATAACTAAACAAGTCTAACTGTGTGTAACAAACCAATTAATAAGAGGAGATTTACACAAAGACTAACCCAATTTCTAACTACCAAGAGGGTAACTGGTACTGGATTGAGGAGGACCTTTTTTCTCACCAAAGCATATGCATCCAATAAAAGCAAGCACAAAACTCCAAATGATTTGTGTAAGATCCCGGGCGCTGATGAGGGCGGAGAGTGATCGCTGGTGCGAAAGGGCATGGACAAGGAGCGGCTCCTGACAGGTTTCTAGCAACGGAGGTACATGAATGAATCAAATCAACACCCGAAAGATAAGGATTCCAGAGACTGTGCTGGGACGGTACAGTTGGGAATAGCTTATAAGAATTAATTGGTACTACTTATACTAACAAAATGCATCTACTTTTCGGTAGCCCGAAACGGAAGAACTTTATAGTTAAGCGTGCTTGACTTGGGGCAATTCTGGGATGGGTGACCTCTTGGGAAGTTTTCCCGGGAAATGTGCGAGTGAGGACAAAGCACGCTGAAAAGTCTCGTGTTAGTGTGTGGAGATAGTCGTTGATCCTTGCAAGTTGCTAGGCGTTACAAGTGGTATCAGAGCAGGGCCTCTCTTCCAGTACGGTGTGGTTCGAAGACGAACCAGGCGGAAGCTAGTGGGCATGTAACATCCCGAGCGCTGACGAGGGCGGGGAGTGATCGCCGGTGCGAAAGGGTATGAACAAGGAGCGGCTCCTGACAGGCTTCCAGCGACGGGGTACATGAATGAATCGAATCAACACCCGAAAGAGAGGGATTCAAGAGACTGTGCTGGTATGGGACGGTACAGTTGAGAATAGCTTATAAGAATTAATTGGTACTACCTATACTAACAAGATGCATCTACTTTTCGGTAGCCCGGAACGAAAGAACTCTATAGTTAAGCGTGCTTGACTTGGGGCAATATGGGTGACCTATAGGTGACCTCCTGGGAAGTTTTCCCGGGAAGTATGCGAGTGAGGACAAAACACGCTGAAAAATCTCGTGTTAGTGTGTGGGGACAGTCGTTGATCCTTGCAAGTTGCTAGGCGTTACAATTTGTAAACCCATTGAAGCAATCAAGTAACTGACATACCAACAGAACGTTCTGATGAAATTTCTTTTTATTTTCTTGTGTGATTAGTTAGAATGTTGAAGAGGCATCTCTGACTCTCTCAACAACTCTTTCGCGTGCACTTGGATCTTGATGAATGTTTGCAAGATCAATAACTGGAATAATATATTCTGTGTAGCCTAAATCTGAGGCCTTCTTGAAGTTATCAGGTGGGTGATAAAATATAGAAGGGATCATAATAATATCTGCATCAACAAGTCCTTTAACACCAGTTTCTCCTTTGCTCTTTCAGATTCAGGCAAGACTTTCTATTCATTTTCACTCATATTAGTGAACCCCATTTTCCTTCTCTTTGGAAATCCAATGGAAGTCAAGGTGGTATATGAAATTATGAATAGGGATGGAAGTGATGATGCATAAGTCTTCACTTTGCCTCTTTAACTTTACTTGCGTGGCTTCTTCAACTTAAGTTAAATATTCCAAAATCCAAAATCTTTTGCTTCTTCACATAAAAGATTTAAGTTGAACAAATTGTGCACCTTAATCATTGCCACTCTCTCATATTAATATTGTATTACACATTGTTTTCCTTGCTTCTCTCTGGGTCTTCCCCGTTCTTTTTGCTCCGAGTTTCACTCTCTTCACCTCCTCAAAAAGAGAGAAATGGGGTTCTTTATGAAGCATCAATTCACCATTCAACGCCATTTTTTTGTATCCAGGATGTGTTGCAATTCTATTGATGAGGGTGATCAAGTGTTTGTATATCAACAACCACCCTCCCAAAAGCTTAAATGTTACATGAAAGCACAAGCGTTTGAATAGGTGAAGAATCAAGTCTTCCAAAAGCTTAAATGATATATAAAAGCACACGGTTTTATATTAATTCAGTCCAAGATTCTTAATAAGTTGATAAAAACACCAATTTATCTCTTCAACACAAGTTTTTTATTAATTCTTTCACAAGAAGCTTGTGCTCAAGCCAGCTTAGCCACTTGCACCACATTGCGCTCGTCAAATCCTGAAATGCAGCAGAGGAGAAGTACCATTCATATAATTTTTGTTGTAATGGAGTACAAAATCTGAAATTGAAGTTTCCCTGTATTTTGCAGGATTTTCTTCAGATAACAGTTCCTTGATGGGACCATAAATCCTTTGAGACGGATGAACACCTGTGCTAAAGAAGCATGCAACAGAGACTCTTGGACCTATATAATTTGCCAGTACTCTATGTTGAGGACTCTTGAATTTGTCATTTGATATGAGCTGAGATTTAAAATATTGTTAGTCATAGTGATGAAGGATCACATTTAATAAGATGAGAGAAACCAAAATGATAAATTTAAACAAATCTGATAGTGACCTTCAACAACCAAACAACCAACAACAAAGAAACAGGGAATTTTTGGCCTGAATAATCAGATTTTTCATATATTCCTGGGAATGCAGAGACAAATACAGCTAATGACAGTAAACAGAGTCGCGATACAGTAAAGGAAAAATTTACAATGAAAGGAAAATGAACAACAATGCAGAAAAGTAAAGGATAATGCGAGACAATTGGAGAGGCCTCACTCTCTCCCAGGGTTCCACTCCACTATTCCAAATGATTCCCCTCAAGCACCCATCCTCCCCTCTTAACCAATTTCCCCCGTAACTAACTTGCCTCCCCACACCACACCTGTATTCTGTTAGAGGGCATTCTAGTCAATATCTCCACTTGGCCATCAGCATTACCACTTCCAGCATCTGTACTTGGGTCAAATATTGCCACTTGGGTCAATAGCATTGCCACTTGGGTCAGTTACTACATTTGAGGCCCAAATTCTACTAATTTTTTTTCTACGGTACACCTGCCTTGGTGGGTTTGTATCAATACTCCCTCCCAATTTAAGCACCTTATCCTCAAGGTGGAAATTGGGGAACTGACTTTGAATTACAAAAAAAAAAACCTCCCAAGTGTTTTCAAAATCAAGCAGGTCACACCATTTAGTCAGCACCTACAATTGTCCATTACGGGAACGCTACCACTGAACAACAGCTGCTTCCAGTTGCACTTATAACTCCCAATTTTTGGACATAAAAGGTGGCAAAGGTTGGGCATTTGGAACAGACGTGACAACTTGTTTGAGCAGGGACACATTAAAAACAGGATGCACCCTACAATTTTCCGGCAACTGCAATTTATAGGCAGCCTCCCCAACTCGTTCCAAAATAGGATAAGGACCATAATATCTCCAACTCAACTTTTCATTAAGCCTCCTAGCAATTGTTTTAAGCCTATAAGATTGCAATTTGAGATAAACGGCATCACCAACCTTAAACTGCAGATTTCTGCGTTTCTAATTAGCATGTTGTACCATGCAGTCCTGGGCTTGTACCAGATGTTGTTGTAATTCCTGTAATATGGAATCTCTTTCAACCAAGGATTATGATACAACGTCAATAGCTGAAACATAGCTAGTGCCTTTGAGCAGTGTTGGAGAGTCAATAACATAAAATTCCTTGAATGGAGTTATGCCGGTAGAATCCTTGTAAGTAGTGTTATACGAGTACTAAGCCCAACAGACCCATTTAGGCCAATGTTTAGGCTTCGGCTCACAGAAACAGCGGAGGTAAACTTCCAAACACATGTTCACTACTTCCGTTTTGTCCATTTGTTTATGGGTGGTACATTGTACTGTAATGAAGTTTTGTGCCTGTACTTTTAAAAATCCCATCCCAAAAAGAACTCATAAACAGCCTATCTTAGTCAGACACAATGGTCAAGGGAAAACCATGCAACCTTACCACCTCTGTGATAAACAGGTTAGCCACTTCCTTTGCTGTATACGGATGTGTTATCGGGAAAATATGAGCATACTTGGACAAACGATCCACTACCACAAATATTGTGTTCACTCTCATAGCCTTGGGCAAGCCCCAATGAAATCCATTGATATATCAGCCCATACTTTTGTAGGAATAGGCAGTGGTTGTAGTAAACCAGCCGGGGTCAGGTTCTGAATTTTACTCTATTGACAAATGGAACATGCTGACTTAATCATTGATGCACTTTTGCATGCCCTCACAATACACCAAACTAGCCAGCCTCCAGCGAGCCTCTTGTATGTGCGAAAATACCCTGAATGTCGCCCACAGGTGAATTATTAAACTCCTTCCATAGTGAGGGAAGGAATTTGGAACCCTTGGGCAGCACTAAACGATCTTTGAAAAACAATTTGTCCTCCCTCAATTTGAACTCCTTGTGGGCAACAAGGTCCACAATTAAATCTTACACAATCTTCTGCAACTTATCATCTTGCTGCACATCCTGTTTCAACTGTTCTAAATCAGGAAACTGAAGTCTAAATATACTTGTAAACTGCATTTAGCGCGACAGAGCAACAGCCACCAAGTTTTCCTTACCCGGCTAATATTGAATGTCAAAATCAAACCCAATTAATTTTGAAACCCATTTCTGTATTGCAAACACTATAGCCATCAACTCCTATTCGTAGACTGATTTATTTTGGGCTCCAGAAGAAAACTCCTGAATGATATAAGCCAAAGGTCTATTTTCCTGCATAAGAACAACCCTAATACCCTTACCTAATGCATATGTCACCACAATGAAAGTTTTGCGAAAATTTGGCAAAGCAAGAATCGGAACAGTGCTCATGCAACGTTTCAATTGATTAAAGGACTCCTCAGCCTCTGTGTTCCACTTAAACTCATCCTTCTTTAGCATATTGGTTGACGGCTTGGCTATCTTGCCATAATCCTTAACAAACCGTCTGTAATAACCCGTCAAACCCAGAAGTCGCCTCAAACCTCTTAAATCTTTAGGAATAAGCCAGTCTAACATAGCCTTCAGCTTACTAGGGTCTGCGCTTATTCCTTCAGCCGAAATAATATGCCCAAGGTATTGTTAGTATATGGATGTCCTAGAGACGATCTTTTGATTAGATTAGGACATATGTGGACCTTTTATATTGTCGCAAATAAATAATAAGCACTTTTTATCCTGTTTCATATTTTGTCTCAATATTATTGTTAATATATTATATGAGTAACTGGATAAACCCCTTGGAATAAAATAGGTATCTCTTGAGTATCTGTGATGAGATCACGATCATGAGGATTTAAGGATACCGGATGTTTATTCCTAATTTTACGTTCCTAGTCTAAGAGACACTGAGAATAGGGATCAGTAATCTCGGGTAAGACTAGCACGACTTATCTACTTGTATTCGGATACAAGGTAAAAACCTCATGAGCTACAGATATGGAGATGTCTTAGCTAAAGTCGTGGGTGGGCCTATAAGGGTATAGCTCGCACTGAACTGACCCACAAAGAGACTCTATGAGGAAATCTTACAAAAGTATCATTAGAGCAGTCTCTTAATATTTGGGTATGTCTTTCCTTAGACCATAAGTTGTCACCTAGACTGTGTTCTAGAAGGCATGTTTTGATTGTATACCTCGTCTGCCTGAAACATGGAGACTCATAGGTATACTTTTGGGCATGTCCTGAAAGAGCACAGGCCTAGGGTGATAAGCTGAAGGAATTCGTCAAATCTCTGTGAGGGATTAGGTTATCTGTAAACCGGAGAAATCGGGATGACATTTACAGGAATCGGGAATCTATGCATAGTAAAAGAGATCATAAAATGATCTGCCTTTAGAGTCAGTAAATTGAAGATTCCCTATTTCGAATTAAAACTTACCCTAAACCGCAAGGGTTAATACGTATCCTCACCCTAGGTTTAAAGGGAAGGTAACCGAGATGAAAGGAAATACATACAGTAACCAAATATATGTAATAGGATGATCATGTCATTAACCTAACTAGCTCTGGGGCAACAAAGCATTGCCAGTGCTCTGTATTGTCATTAAATGGGTTGTGGGCTTGTTGGGCCCAAGCCCATTTATGTCAGTGGCTATGTTGGGCCTAATGGGTCTCACACTAACACCTTATTGTCTTGATGATATAGCATTAAAGGTATTGGGTCTTAATAATGGTTGTTAGCCCAAGAAGAAGTTTGGAAGCCCACCTAAGAGGGAAAGGGCGCATGGTAGTAGTAATGGGCTTGGATGGTCCAAGACATTATTAATTAATTTAATTAGTTAAATTATTATCAAATATTTAAATTTTGAATTTAAATTTTGAATTTGAATTTTGAATTTAAATGTTTGAACGTTTGAATTTAAATGTTTGAATTTGAATTTGAATTGGCTGTGAAAGGTTGTTTCATAACAAAAGGATAAAATGAGATCTTGATGGATCAAATCCTAAGTATCAAGAGAAGATCTTTGGACATCTTCTAGCATGATTGGGGCGCTGATTTGGTGATCCTTTGATGGTCATATGGTCAACCAAATAAGCTCCAATCAGATTTGGTTTATTGAGAGAATAAGTGAGTGAGTTGGTTCAATTTGAATTGCAACTACTCAATGTATTTGGACTGTTTTTGGGCTGAATAAGGGTGCACCAAATGGCTGGCCATATGATGGTTATTAAGTCAGATTTTTGACTAGGTATAGACTTAGTCTCATGAGGATATGATAGGAGGTTGTTGGTTAGATTTGAATTGCAACAACTCCACTTATTCCTCCACCATTGGGCACTACATAGGTCAGATTTTTGGGAGAAAAATCTGATTCAATTCAATCATTCTCTCATCTCCAAAAGTGCATCCTTTTGTTAGGTTCTCTTAAGGGTTTTTCGAAAATTACCTAGCCTCTACTCATAGAACTTCATGCGCCACTTTGTGAGTCTTCATGCTGAAAATTCACTCAACTAAACACCTTGAAACCTAAGCCTCTTTCTCTCCTATTGGACGCCTAGCTAGCCTTCCTTGTGGTGTTCGATTGGTGGCTTTTAAGAAGTGTTCTTGTATCTTGACGTAGGGTGGTGTGGATCAACATTAGAGGGTTTGAACCTTCAAACCTTACACTGATCACTTTGGAGTTTTGAATCACGAACAAAGGTATCATTACGTCCTAAAGGACGTATCTTAATTTGCATGTGTGTTTCCGCTCTTGAAAAATTTTGTTTTCATCCTCACATGCCTACGGCCTTCAAGGCCATTTTCTTTCAGGTATTCCACATGATCACTCCCAAAACTGCACTTCTTTCGATTAACCACTAATTGGTGTTGTCTTCACACTTCAAAAACTCTACATAAGTGCCCTTCATGCTCATTTCTCCTCTAACTATAAATCAAGAAATCATCCAAGAAAACCAAAGTAAATTTTCGTAAAAAGGGCCTGAAAATTTCATTCGTCAAGGCCTGAAAGGTTGAAGGCGCATTAGTCAAACCGAGAGGCATTACCAAGTATTCGTAATGCCCTTCGTGTGTCCTAAACGCTGTTTTTGGTATATCTTCTATCCCCATCCTTATCTGGTGGGAATCAGACTTCAGGTCTAACTTAGAGAACACCTTTGACCCTCCCAATTCGTCTAACAGTTCCTCCACTACTGGAATTAGGAACTTGTCCGGTACTGTGAGCTTGTTTAAAGCTCTGTAGTCCACACAAACACGCCAGTTGCCATCCTTCTTTTTTACCAATATCACAGGACTAGAGTATGGACTAGTATTGTGCCTAATCCATCCATTACTCAGCAATTCAGAAACTAATTTTTCTATTTATGTTTTTTTATAGTAGGGGTACCTGTAGGGTCGTAGACTAGACACTTCGCTTCTTGGTTTGAGGTTGATTGCGTGGTCACGTGTCCTTTTTGGTGGCAGGGCTTTTGTCTCCTGAAATAGGTCTTGGTACTCCAACAACAAATTTAAACAAATCTTTTTTGCATTTTAAAAGGCTAAGCATGATTAAGACCATTAGTATCCATTGTGTTCTTTCATTTCTTTTTCTTCTATTCCCTTTCAGCAAAATGTATGAACCTTAGAATTCTACCCTCCTCATGTTCATTTAAGGATATCAGAAAATGATTCTCCATGAGCATGAAATAAACAAATATATGTTGTTAATTGTTGAGTGTGGCTTATAATTTGCATTCAGATGCTGATCCTTGTTGGTGGGTCAGCAGAAAGCCAACTGGGGGCGGGGGTCAAGGGACCGTAGAGGCCTGGTACTGTTGTAGGCCTCTAACTTATCGTATTTTCTTTTCTTAGTAGTTTGGGCTTGGACCCATGAATAACTGTTGTTAGGGTTTCTAAATCCTATTTATATTCCCCTTGTAAACTGAGTGATTTGTAACGAGTGTCGGTGAGGAGAATATAATACAGATAAACTAGACGTAGTCTACACTGGGTGAACCAGGGTAAACCGTTGTGTCAATTGCTCTTCCCTTTCTCTTTTCAAATCGTGATCGTGTGTGTGTGGTTAGGTCGATTCCAACATTAATAAGATAATTGACAGGAATTTAAGACATTATTAATCATACCAGTTGGTCGGGTAAATATAAGTTAAGTGGGAGTCTCTCTGTGTTACTGCAATGGTAACTAATTAAATAATCACTAAACTTAAGGCGACTTCCTTTTGAACCACTTTCCTATATACCGCTTTCCTAATCACTCATAGGAAAAGAAAGACAAAAACATACCTGCAAATAATCGCCAATGTTAACAACAAGAGCCCCAGGTAGAGGGGGTAAGTCAATCCACATGTCCTGATGAAGAACTTGGAGGCCACCTATATGGTCTTGTAGAAGTACTGTGATGAAATCTATATCAGCATGCTTCATGGTTCCTAAAGTCAATTCAGGTTCTGGACAAGGAGGATAGTAATGGCTTAAGGAAAATAGCCCCTCGGTGCAACCAATATCTATTAAGTGTGTTGGATTCAGACCAAGAGCTTCTGATAATAACTCAAACAATAAAGTCCCCAGTTTCATTACTTGATTTGAGTATTCCACCAGTATGTCTCTACAAACAAATGAAGTAAGTATTCCATTATTTTAGGCTTAAAGGGAGGAAAGAATCAAGCATTATGAAAGCAAACCACCACAAATAAAAATTGTAGAATAAAAAAATAAAATATTGTACTTTCCTTCTTCCCCATATTGTTTTTATTTGGCTTCAGTAAATTTTCACCAGCTTTCACCTTATAACTCCTTCATCTGTATTGCTGTTTTAGATTTTATGCAACGGATGATAGTTTGCATGCTAGGTCAGTAGGTTGCTTACTGAAACTTCAATAAATAATTCTGCTAGTGAAGAAATGGAGACACAATTCACAGCCTAACCTACTACTGAAACAGTCCAAGTATCATCATGAAACCCTGGTTTATGAAATGCAAGGTATTCTGGTAATCTAACACAAACAATAATTGTGTTTTTGTTATGTTTCCTGCTTTTCTAATTCTTGCATAAATACTTGAAATTCGAAAGGGAGGGTCGTTGGAAACATCACAAACAAGTTACACTCAATTAAACGTGGTGTAGCACAATATGCCTTAATTTTTTGAAAAAAACAAAACAAAAAAAGTAACACACATTTCTATGACTCACATGACATAGCATATGTCATGCAACATGATACTCAATTCTCATATATATATATATATATATGGGGTAAATATTTCTACAGCCACTTTAGATAAGGTTATCTACGGCTACCATTTATAACTATGTTCTCCCGAGAGAACATAGTTATAAATGATAACCATAGATAACTTTAGAAATATTTTTTTCCTATATATATATATATGAGTTTTATTTGTCTTATGTTGCTGCACAAATTTTAATTTTGAAGCTATGACCTACGATATTTGTGTTTCATTTTCTTTTATTTTAAAAATAATGGACCCCACTATAATTTACATAAGATAAAAATTTTGCAGCAACTTAAAACAAATAAAGCCATATATATATATATATATATATATATAGGGTTTCTCTTTTCTCATGTCACATGAGGTTGCATCTCTCATGCCATAGACTAGGGATGGCAAAAATGAGCCAACCCGTCGGGTTGGCTCGTAACCCGCACAAAACGAGCCGGGTTGGGTTGGCAAAAATGAGCTGCCAGCTCGATTTAGCCCGACCCGAGCCAACCCGAGCTCAAACGAGCCAGCTCGCGGGTTGAACGAGCCAACTCGCGGGTTACTCTTTTTTTTTTCTTTTTTTTTAATACAATGGACTTTACTGATGGATTCTCCACTGATGGACTTCTTTTATTTTTTATTTTTTGGCTTTACATACGTTTTATGGTTATCGTGAGTTAGAGTAATTCAAAAAATCATGATAAATGACTCTTGTGATTCGTGGAGTGGTTTGTGTTTCATTTAATGTTTTTGGATTTTGTAAACTACTCTACTTGTAGTTGGACTGCAAAATACAATAATTTTATACAGGAAAACAAACCACAAAAATTAAATTTTTTGAGCCAACCCGCTAGCCAATATTTTGAGCTAACCAACCCGCGAGCCAACCCACTAGCATCATTTCGAGCTAACTCGCGAGCTTTTTTTGAGCCAACCCGTGAGCTTTTTTACGAGCCAACCCGCGAGCTGATTATCGAGCCAACCCGTGAGCCAACCCTAACCCGGCTCGGGTCGAGCCGGGTTGGATTTTCTGGCTCGTTTTTTTTTTCGAGCCAACCCGACCCGACCCATTTTTTTCGGGCTGAAGGCGGGTTGGGCCGGGTCGAGCCGGATTGGCCCGTTTTGCCAACCCTACCATTGACACAACAAGTGGTGGGGCCCACCACTTGTTAAAAAAAACAAAAAAACAAAAAAAATTACACAGATTTCGATGTCTCACAACATAAGAAAGCTATCTCCTATCGCATGAGAAAATGATTTCCCATATATATATATATATATGAGGTTTGATTTTCTCATGTTAAATGAGAATTCAATTCTCATGCTGTAGAGATAAAAAGCATGTGGGACCCATGTGTTAGAAAAAATTATATGTAGGACCCATGTCAACACGGAAATCGAAGGGTGTGTAGGAAAATTTGAAATCTCATGTTAAATGAGAATTATAAAATCCTATATATATATATATATATATATATATATATATATATATATATATATATATATCTCAGAATCTATCAACAAAACAGGAAACTATCAAATTAGAAATTTGGGTCATACCCATCATTTTCTTCGCTAATTTAGAAATTCATTGAACCTAGAGCAAACATTACACTACTATAAACACTAAAAGACTAATAACTTGAGCTAAATTGCCTAAATTGAAGCACATACCTGCATACCGATGGTATTTCTTGTGGTTTAGGGGCATTAGGAGCAAGGTTGCAGAAAAAAGAATCTTTCCAAGTAGTTGGTGAGTTATACAGTTTAAAATTGCTGCTGTACTCAAAGGGCTCTTTATCACGAGTATAAAATTCCTTCTTGACCTCACTATCTTGCTCAAAAAACCTTAGCACCCCATTTTTCATCTCATTTAGAGAACTCACCGGGATGCCATGATTGATAACCTGAAAGAAACCCAATGCCTCAGAGGCATCTCTGACTCTCTCAACAACCCTTTTTCGTGCACTTGAATCTTGATGAATGTTGTCAAGATCAATAACAGGAATAATATATTCTGTGCAGCCTAAATCTGAGGCTTTCTTGAAGTTATCAAGCGGATGATAGAATATACGAGGGATCTTAGCAATACCTGCATCAACAAGTCCTTTAACACCAGCTTTTGTGTCAATAAAAGCTTTGAGCTCCTTTGCTCTTTCAGATTCAGGCACGACTTTCTCTTCACTTTCACTCATACTAGTGAACCCCATCTTGCTTCTCTATGGAAATACAATGAAAGTCAAGGTGGCAGGACTTAAGAGGTTGTATATGAAATGAATATATTACATTTTGTTTTAATGTGATAGAATTTATTAGATTTTTGTGAATGAACGAAGCGAAGACTGTTTATCTTTTTGATATAATTTATGTCATTTTACTATTATGGGAAGACTCACACTTTTATTTTATTTTTTTGTGCATTTTTTCTTCTCCTTTATCTATTTTTTTTTTTCACTTAAAATGACACAACTTTATTTCCTTCGAAATGACACGCACTTCTTTCGTAAATGAACAATTTAATGTCCAGTTATCAAGCTGAATTACTTTATATCAGAATAATTTTCACTTAGGACATATTTAGTGTACAGGATAAGGCTCGATAAAATATCATTTAATAAAAAATTATATAAATTTTTCCAAATATATTATATGATGTTAATTTTTATTACATGCTTGATTTTTAATCTCGGAGTAAAATTGATTTTCATATCAGTAATTTAGATTAATTATTATTTATCAATATTGGTTTACTCTGTAATTTTTGAGTTTACTTCTATTTTGTACCCCAAAAAAATGTTTATTTCAAGTTTAATAATTCTAAAGTTTATTTAACACAGAAGAAAAAATTGTCTATTAGCAATCATGTATTCAAAGCATCTTTATAAAACATGTACTTAAAAGTGTCTCCATAGTAATTTTTTACCCACTTTTTTTCAAATTTTGCATTCAATTCACGAGTAAGAAATCATAAATCAGAAATCACATAAATCACTCTTTGTTAAACCCCACTAACAACAGTAAAGATAAGGACAATCCTAATACGGAGCCTTACCTTTGCTTGCATATGCATTTAGACTGTTTACCTTATTTGAACTCTGACCTTCAAATTACAAAACAGCAACTTTATTACCGTTCAAGGCTCAGCCCTCGTATTGCATTCAATTCATGAGTGCCGGTGATAATTTCTTCTCAATATTCTAGTAACTTATAAAGTAGTAAATAAATCAGGATTTCAAAACCCAGATACTGCTATAAAAAGTATGTATCTGGGTATGCCTTCAGTTCAAGTTTCAGGACATGCATATGAACAAATGTATTATTCTAACCAAGATTCTTAATAAGTTGATAAAAGCACCAATTTATCTCTTCAAGACAAGATTTTCATTGATTCTTTCTCAAGAAGCTTGTGCTCAAGATCAACGTAGCCACTTGCACCACATTGTCCTAGTCAATCCTGAAATGCAGCAGAGGAGAAGTACCATTCATACAATTTTTGCTGAAATGGAGTACAAAATCTGAAATTGAAGTTTCCCTGTATTTTGCAGGATTTTCTTTAGATAACAGTTCTTTGATGGGACCATAATTCCTTTGAGACGGATGACAACCTGTGCTAAAGAAGCATGCAACAGAGACTCTTGGACCTATATGATTTGCCAGTACTCTATGTTGAGGACTCTTGAATTTGTCATTTGATATGAGCTGAGATTAAAAAATATTGTTAATCATATTGATGAAGGATCACATTTAATAAGATGAGAGAAACCAAAAAATGATAAATTTAAACAAATCTTTTCTGCATTGTTAAAGGCTAAGCATGATTGTGACCACTAGTATCCTACGTGTTCTTTCATTTGATTTTCTTTTATCACATTTCAGCAAAATGTATGAACCTTAGACTTATACCCTTCTCATGTTCATTTGGGGTCAAAGGACAGGAAATTAAATCAACAATTTCAACAATAATCAAATTCATTTAGCAGAGGGACTTTCTTAATAAGCAGGCTATAATGTATAAGCTCATGTTAAAATGAACCTAATAAATGTGCAATAAGGGCTGATATTTACTTATAGGAAAAGAAAGACAAAAACATGCCTGCAGAAAATTGCCAATGTTAACAAGAAGAGCCCCAGGTAGAGGGGGTAAGTCAATCCACATGTCCTGATGAAGAACTTGGAGGCCACCTACATGGTCTTGTAGAAGCACTGTGATGAAATCTACATCAGCATGCTTCATGGTTCCTAAAGTCAATTCAGGTTCTGGACAAGGAGGATAGTAATGGCTGAAGGCAAATAGCCCCTCAGTGCAACCGATATCTATCAAGTGTGTTGGATTCAGACCAAGAGCTTCTGATAATAACTCAAACAACAAAGTCCCCAGTTTCATTACTTGATTTGAGTATTCCACCAGTATGTCTCTACAAACAAATGAAGTATGTATTCTATTATTTTTAGGCTTAAAGGGAGGAAAGAATCAAGCATTGTGAAAGCTAACCACCGCAAATAAAAATTGTAGAATAACAAAATAAAATATTGTACTTTCCTTCTTCCCCATATTGTTTTGTCCACTATCATCATGAAACCCCGGTTTATGAAATGCAAGGTATTCTGGTAATCTAACACAAACAATAATTGTGTTTTTGTTGTGTTGCCTGTTTTTAAGAGGGCGGGCCTAGAGCACGGGCAAAGGTGCATCTAGTGATTAAAAGATCACGGGTTGTGTCCAAGAAAGAGTCTCTTTGCAAATATGTAAAAGTAAGGTTCTGTATAGGAATTTCTCTCACCCCTCCCTACCATCGCTAGTTGGGATTTAAATTAGAGTGGTTATGTTGTTTGATTACAAAAAAAATAGGGGATTAAACGTGGTGTAGCCCAATATGCCTACTATACACACACATATATATATATATATAATAGAAAACTATAATATTTATCAAATTAGAAATTTGGCTCAAACCCATCATTTTCTTTGGTAACTTAGAAATTCGTTGAACCTAGAGCATTCATTACACTACTATAATCACGGAAAGACAAATATATAACTTGAGCTGATACCTGCATACAGCTGGGATGTCTTCTGGTTTAGGGGCATTAGGAGCCAGATTGTAGAAGAAAGAATCCTTCCAACTAGTTGGTGCTGAGCTATACAGATTAAAATTGCTATTGTACATAAAGGGCCTTTGTTCACGTGTATAAAATTCCTTCTTTACCTCACTACCTTGCTCAAAAAACCTTAGCACCCCATTTTTCATCTCATTTAGGGAACTCACTGGGATGCCATGATTGATAACCTGAAAGAAACCCCATGTCTCAGAGGCATCTCTGACTCTCTCAACAACACTTTTGCGTGCACTTGGATCTTGATGAATGTTTGCAAGATCAATAACAGGAATAATATATTCTGTGTAGCCTAAATCTGAGGCTTTCTTGAAGTTATCAGGTGGATGATAGAATATTGAAGGGATCTTAGTAATACCTGCATCAACAAGTCCTTTAACACCAGCTTTTGTGTCATCAAAATCTTTGAGCTCCTTTGTTCTTTCAGATTCGGGCATTACTTTCTCTTCATTTTCACTCATACTAGTGCCCACCATTTTCCTTCTCTGTGGAAATCCAATGAAAGTCAATGTGGTAGGAGGTTGTACATGAAATGAATAATTGAATATATTAGATTTTGGTTTACTGTGATAGAATATATTATATTCTCATAAATTAATGGGAAATGTGTGCAATGTTACATGATACATCTTGTATCATGTCAGTCATAAAAATAAAAAAAATGTGGATTTTATTGAAAATAAAAAATAAAAAACAAAATAAAATAAAAAAATAGATTTCATATTTTTATATCTATGGCATGACAAAAGATATGTCATATAACATGACACTCACATTTTCCATAAATGAATAATGTAACGTGCAATTATCAAGCTGAATCATTTTATAACAGAATAATTATCACCTAGGCTTCTACACAGCAATACAAGATCTGTGATTGACAGATCTGAAGAAGCATTATCTATATAATAGAAATTGAAAAAGAGTTACATTTTAGTTATTTTCATACAAGAAAAGAGCAAGAGATACAACATTAGAAGGGAACACAACAATGCAAGACACATATTTTCCAATAAATGCATATTTTGTAAAAAAGAAGAATATAGATGATGACATATCAAATTTTAAGAAGTTAATTAATAATTTTATATATAAAATTTAGAAAACTAAATTTTATTTAAAATTTCATTATTCGGTTAGTTCTTCCAATTCACGAACCCGTTTAAGCTCATCACTGAACTTGCCACACGACGAGTTAACTTGTCAAATTTTAGTTTATTTTTATTTGTCTATCTTTTTAATTAAGTATTAGCCATATTATTTGTCTAGGCAACACAAATTTTCAATATATATGTGTGAATTGGTGGTTCAAGGCAAGGTAGGTTGAAATTTCCAACCCACTTTCAAAATTAAGAGAGGTAAATTATCTGATTTTGAAATTTGCTACTTATATATATATATATATATATATATATATATATATATATAGGCTTTAATGTTTCTAAAGTGAATGTAGATAAGTTATCTACATTCGCTCTCAAAACGACGTCGTTTTAGGTTGAAAAATTAAAAAATTATAATAAAAAAGACTATTATAACCCTGAAATAAATTATAATTACAAAAATATTATGATTTTCGTCTTAAAATAATGTCGTTTTGGGTAGATAAATTATCTACATTTATGGTAGAAAAAATAAATCCATATATATATATATATATATATATATATATATATATATATATATATATATAAAAGCTTATTGTTTCTCAAGTCACTTGAGATAATTTTATTTCGGTCACTAAATTATAACCGTACAAAGATGGATCAATGGTGATAAAGGAAGAAAAAAAAAAGGAATCATAATCATTCAAACATAAATCAATTAATATAAGGAAATAAATAAATAAAATGACGTAGTTTTTGGTTCACCGAAAATAAATACATCTCAAATGACTTGAGAAATATATATATATATGGGAAAAGTGTGTATCATTTTAAAGGATGTAAAGTTGTGTCATTTTAAGTGAGAGAAAGAGATAGATAAAGGAAGAGAGAGAGTGGACAAAAAAATATAAAGATGTGGGTCTCACCTCTTTGTGAGAGTGAAATGGTATAAGTTGTGTCATTTAAAAGAACAAACACTTTTTCCTATATATATATATATATAGGGAAAAATATTTCTCCAGTTATTGGAAATAAAGTTATCTCTAGTGAACTCAAAATGACATCGTTTTGGGTTATAAGATTAAAAAATTATAATGATAAAGACTAAAATAACACTACAATATATTAGAATTACAAAAATACCTTGATTTTCGTCCTAAAACGACGTCATTTTGGACTTATCAGAGATAATTTATCTTCATTGACTGGAGAAATCATTTACCCGTATATTTATATATATATATATATATATATATATATATATATATATATATATTAAAAAACATTTCTATAGCCATTTTAGATAAGGCTATCTACAGTTACCCAAAAATTACGTAGTTTTGATTAATGAATGGTGTTTCTGTACAGGGTGTTTCAGTAAAATGTATATGATAAAAAAATAAACAAAAATACGAAAACACCCTTAAGTAATTCACCTAAAATTACAGAAACACCCTTCATTAATCAAAACGACATAATTTTTGGTTAGCTGTAGATAACCTTATCTAAAGTGGTTGTAAAAATATTTACTATATATATATATATATATATGGGTATTAACGAGCCGAGTCGAGCCGAGCTTTGCTCTTAAAAGACTAAGTCTATATTTAAATGTGTCAGCCTGAACAAGCATGTTACCTGTTATGAATATAATTATTGACTTGTGACCAGACTTATTTACAAAAAAATAAAAGCCTGATTTAGCCTATTAGCTTGTTTAAAAAAAATAAGACAACAAACATTTATCCAAACAGAATATACAATCAACAACACTAGTAATTCTATAAATATTCGTAAATTCAATGTATCCAAATAGCATAATATAGACAAAATCATTCAAAAAGTATGTTTAACTAATAAAATGGGGTGAAATGGATTGATGAGTGAAAGAGAGCTATTACAAGTAGTATAAAAAATATAAAATAAAAATAAAAATTAATATACTATGTCAGCCTGAGAGGCTCTAAGGTCGAGTTTTGGAATTGGAGTCTGAAGCCTTTATTAAACGAGCTTTTATACAAGTCCAAGCTTGATTCCAACAACCAATATTAGGCATGTAAGCTTATGCCTTCACGAGGCCTGCCAAAGGTTTCTTGTTTGTTTATCACCCCTATATATATATATATATATATATATATATATATATATAGATTTGAAAGGGTTGTGAAACAAAAAATTTAACACGTTATGAAATAAAAAAGTTAACTATTTAATGTTTTTAATTAAAATAATTTAATGAATAATAAATGTTATTTTGATTAAGTTGACTATTCCGTTTCAATTTTTTTTTTTTTAAGATATTTCAATTGATTCATCGTTTCGCGACTAATCGATACGGGGAGGGTCTATGACTAAGCTTTAAACTCTCCCAAAAAATAGTACTGAAAAATATCGAACATATGTTCTCACTCTTACCTGCTCGGTTCTTATGTGTTAACTGAGCTACCACTATTTAGTTTATGAGATTTGTATTTGTCATTTAACATGACACAACAAACTTTTCTACACACACAACATTTTGTGTGGCCCACACTTTTTGAAGAAAAAAGAAGAAGAAAAAATTACGGCACGCAAAACAAATCTCTATAACATTACACAATCACTTTTCTTACAACATAACTCTTATAAAACCCTTAGTTTATTATTCCATTTCATGTTTTATTTATTATTAGGGAAAAATATTTGTTATTTTAAAAATTATAAAGTTATATCATTTTAAGAAAGAAATAGACATAAAATAATATGTTTTTATTTAAAATTTAAATTAAAAAACCATCCATTTTCTTCACTATAATTTTCATTTCTTATATTTATTTCTTACCTATAATACATAACTTATCTCTTTAAAATACAACCATCAAAACTCTTATTATTAATAGGAAGATGGGGAGAGACAGAGATCCGATCGAAGCCAGGGTGGTGGTAGGTGGTATATGAAATTATCAATTCAGATGCAAGTGACTAAGCATAAGAGTTTACTTGTCTCTTTAACATCGCTTGCGTGACTTCCTCAACTTACTTTTAAATATTCCAAAATTCAAACCTTATTTCCCATTTAAGATTTGTTAAACGATTCGTGTACCTGAGTCATTGCCACTCTCTCATATTAATATTATATTACACTTCGTTTTCCTTGCTTCTCTCGCTCTGTGTGTGTCTCTCTGGGTCTTCCACCGTTCTTTTCTCTCCGAGCTTCACTCTCTTCACCTCCACAAAAGGGAGAGAAATGGGGTTCTTCTCTTTTCTGGGTCGTGTCCTATTTGCTTCTCTCTTCATCCTCTCCGCGTGGCAGATGTAAGTCCTCTTTTCAGATCTATCAACTTCCATTTTTTTTCTTTTGTGTACCATTCAGATTCATGGAAAGGACTTCACTTTCCACTCTGTTTTCGATTTTGGGATGTGGTTTTTCATTTTATCGCTTTAGTTTCACGTATTGAATGTTGAAGTGTAATTTTTTCTGATTTGGAGTCATACCCATATGTTGTTTGGATCCGTTTTCAATTGGGTTTTTGTTCTGCTCAATGGTTCTTCTGGAAATCATTATATAGAACAATTAGGTGTTTTATTAGATTTTTCTTTCAAGTTTAGTGTATCTGCCAATAAAGAGAAGTATTCTTGTGCTAGAATGTAGATGATATTATTGTAAATTATTATTTGCAAGTATCCTGGCATGTTGAGAATTTTGAATGGTCTTGAATATTACCAACAACCAATGCACTATGAAATCTTGAGTTGCACATATAAAATATAGTTTTTATGTTCCTTTCCCTAAGTTACTTCCTTCAATTCATTGAGGATTTTTTTATTTGTGTGGTATTTACTTCATTGAGGATTTTGACGTTTGCACTGAGTACACATATTTAGATATCAAATTAGCTACAAACCACGAGTCTATAGATCTAATTTTCGAGCCAATCATATCTGTCAAGAAACATGTGGTTTAGATTATAGATAAATCAAGAAATGAAAATTAAATATATTTCATTTACTCTTAAGCTGAACTAAAATGAACATTCAATACCTGCAAGGTGTGGCTCAGTTGGTTTGGTGCTGAGTCCAAGGGTTCCGGACTGGTGAGTCTAAAGGGCTTAAGTTCGACTCCTGGTAAACACACTTTGTGGGTAGCGGAGAACCCCTTGCCCTCTCAATCTGTGAAAGGGGATTAGTCCCATCCTATGTGGGGTGGGGATACCCTTGGGTTTACTCAAAAAATAAAAAATAAAAAATGAACATTCAATTACCAGAACCATTGTTTCCTTCTGGTGTAATAAATCTATTAGAACAATTTTAAGTACTTTTGCATTGATATAGCATTTATGTTGCAAGGTTTAACGAACTTGATGCCAATGGTGGACCCATTGCAAAGGAGTTGATTCCCAAGCTCACTGTTGTGAAGAAAAATTTGTCCTCCAAATTGGGGGTAGGGCTACCAGATATTGATGTAAGCCCATCTTTACTCTCACTATCCTTTTAGTTGAATTGATTTCTTTTGTTATTTGCTGTTCCCTTTCTGATTGAGATATAAAATACAGGCTCGGCAATTCATTGCCACAATCATATTTTTAAAGGGGGTTGGAGGAATTCTATTTGTGTTTGGCAGCACACTTGGATCTTTTCTGCTGGTTAGTTTGGAATGTGTAATTGTTATTCTTAATCTTAAGTTTACTTTTAAATCCATATTGAAATTTTCCTTTTTTTTTTTGTTTTAGCTTCTGCATCTGGCGTTTACTACTCCACTTCTGTATGATTTCTATAACTATAGACCGAGCAAAGTTGAATATAATCTACTGCTGAATGATTTCATGCTGGTTTGTCCAAACTTCTTTTACTTGCTGTCTTTTTTAATGATGGTTTCATATGTGTGAGAGAACTTAATATATTGGTGGTTATTTTTTATGGCAGAACATAGCACTTTTTGGTGCATTGCTATTCTTTATGGGGATGAAGAACTCAATTCCCAGGAGACAACACAGGAAGAAGACCCAAAAATCAAAGACAGTTTAGAAAATAGAGCAAAAGATGTGGTGTGTTTGCCAAAATGCTGAGTTGCCCTATTTGATTTTCAGGCTGATTTTTTAATAGTTGCTTAGATCTATTAAGATTATTTTGTTTGTCATTTGGATCATAATTTGATTATGCATATGCTTCCATTTTGTCTTACAATTATTCTACTTACGCCCAAAGAAATTAAGCCTAAGCTATGGTTAGATTTGATGGAGGAGTTCATGAGGGAAACAGATTTCCTTGGAGAAAGTAGGGTGATAAAATTGTTTTATTTTAATCTAATTCAGTGTAATTAAGTATAATGTGAACCTAAATTAAACAAATATGCAATGCAGAAAATTTACTTTGGAGTTCACGTATATATCAGGAAATCAAAATTATGGTCTGAATTTAGAAGCTTTGTTTCTGTGAACAAAATTTGTTTCAAATTTGCCTCATGTGGGATTGATATAAATTTTAATCTGAGACAAACTTGGAATATAATGGCAATTCAGGCATGTTTAAAATCGAGGTCCTTCAACACTCCTCCTTCACAATTTGCCATTATATTCCAAGTTTGTTCAGGAAATGTTCAAACTTTGATTTAACGAGTGCTTTGAAAAAAATATATGCTATTTGCACATCGATATAACGATATATGAGACTTATGTTGCCATTCTTTCTACTTTTCTCAAAAATAGAACTTAATTTTTTATTTTTTTATTTTGGTAGTTAAAGTAGATCTTAATCTTAATATGCTTTTTTTCTTGATTTTGACTAGATTTTTCGTAGTAGCAATTGTGAATTCGTTATCACAAAATATATTGGATGACTTTTGTTCAGACTCTCCCATTTTATTTTATTTTAGAATTCTTCTAAGCCATATAACTTGATTTGTTGCAATGGAGGATTGAGATATCATTTTGTGTATTTTTCATCTCGTAGAACAAAAGAAAATGGAGTCACCAAAAGCCAACATTTCTACCATATTGAGAATGCAAGGAAAACACTTTATTAACAAAAGAGAATTCATAATCATAAACATTTTTTATCTCGTCCAACAAGCCAGCTGAATCGCTATTGATATAACCCATTTGTTATGCAATTTTAGTCGAGTTTTACCAAATTCTAAAGTCTAGAGTTTCCTTGACATATCTAAGGTGAACTTGGCTTGGCTTATGCTTGAACCTTGATAGGAGACTTGTAGCAGTCTAATGGAGCAAGCTATCGATCACACTACTAATCATGAGCCATCTTCCATGAACTTTTCATGAATGTCTTCCTTTTTTCTTCTTTTTTTGGAGATGAATGTCTTCCTTAAATGTTAAAATCATAGTGGAATCAATTCAAATTACGATCAAATCATCAACAAACTAGAAGATACTGAGAATGTCTCGGGATCCTTACCGCTATATGTAAAGGGTGCGCTCAATTATGTTAAAACAAGCAAGCATCTTTCTACTATACCAATTTCTGAAATGATTTATTTAGGCTCATGACCATATTATTTATATGAAAATACATGGAAAAGAGGGGGAAAAGTTGATTTTTTATGTAGTTACAATCTTTTTCTTTTGTGTGCTACTTTTATAATCAGGCGTGATTCAATTTTCTTCTTAAGCTACCACAGCAGCTCAGGTTTTAAATACTAATTATATTTTATTTTTTTTAAAATCTCCAAATTAACTATGTTGGAAATTGATACCCACCCCCCCCCCCCCCCCCCCCCACACACACAAACACACATATATATATTGATTTGCTTAACTCAACCTAATGTTAATTATAAAATTTAAAATTTATATATTTTAAAATTAATAACAAATTATTAGGTTCACATTTAACATCCATATATATTCAGTTTAAAAAATAAAAAATATATTTAATTAAAATTTTTAATGAGCCCAATTGGGTAAAAGAAAATTTTTTTAAGGAAGATTGTTCTTGTTAAACTTTTATATCAGTAATATGGCTCCTTTCATTCATTCATATTCTTCCTCAGCATAGGTGCATTTATACAAGAAGATGGAATAAATGTAACAAACTAACAACCTAATTTTTGGAAACAAACTCCTTAAAGCAATCCTAAAATAACTCACAAGATTTTATAGACTTTATCTAAAATACAATAAAATTTTAAATTTTAAACTTTTGAATTCAAACTTTCTGATTTAACACTCCCCCTCAAGTTGGTGCATGTATATTTAACATGCCTAACTTGCAAATTATATCTCCAAGTGCCTTTCCAGAAATTGCTTTGGTTAAACCATCTGCCAGCTGATCTTCTGATTTGATGTAGGGAGTATTAATAATTTGTTGATCCAACTTCTCTTTTATGAAATGTCTATCCACTTCAACATGCTTGGTTCTATCATGTTGAACTGGATTATGTGCAGTCTCAATGGCAGCCTTATTATCACAATAGAGATTCATAGGCTGATCATTTTATAACTCTAGGTCTCTTAGGACATTTTTAATCCACAATAGTTCACAAATACCATATGACATACCTCTAAACTCAGGTTCAACACTTGATCTGGCCACCACCTTTTGTTTTTTGCTCTTCCATGTGACTAGATTTCCATCAACAAACATGAGATGTCCAGAAGTGGATTGTCTTGAGGTTTGGTCTCCAGCCCAATCAGAATCAGTATATCCTGCTATGCTCGTTTTTTCGTTTTTAGAAAATAGTAGACCTCTGCCAGGTGACCCTTTTAAATATCTCAGAATTCTAAAGACAGTTTTCATATGTTCTTCACTAGGGGAATGCATAAATCTGCTCACCACTCCTATTGTATAAGCAATATCTGGTCTTGTATGTGATAGATAAATGAGTCTCCCCACTAGTCTCTGTATCTGCTAACGTCAGTTCCAATCTGATCCGGGTAAATGCCAAGCTTATGGTTCATTTCTATTGGTATGTCAGCTGGTTTACAGGCTAACATTCCAGTCTCAGACAACAGATCCAGAGTGTACTTTCTTTGAGATAACATAATTCCTTGTTTAGACCTTGCAATCTCAATTCCCAAAAAATAATTTAGCTAGCCCAAATCCTTCATTCCAAACTCATTAGCTAGATGTTGTTCAAGTGACCTCATCTCGTGTGCGTCATCTCCAGTTAAGACCATATCATCTACATAGACTATGAGAATAGTTATTTTTCCTTCTCTGTGTTTGAAAAACATAGTGTGATCTGCATTACTTTGTGTATACCGAAATTTCTTCATTGCTAGAGAAAACCTCTCAAACCAAGCCCTTGGTGACTGTTTAAGGCTATACAGAGCCTTTTTTCAACTTGCAGACAACATTATCCTTTGAAGATGAGAGCTTTACTCCAGGTGGCACATCCATATATACCTCCTCTTCCAAATCTCCATTTAAAAAAGCATTTTTTACATCAAATTCTTCAATGGCCAGTCTTTGTTTGCTGCCAAGGAAATCATAATCCGAATTGTATTAAGTTTGGCAACAGGAGCAAATGTGTCTTGGTATCTACACCATACTTTTGAGCATAACCTTTAGCCACTAAACTTGCTTTAAATCTGTCAATACTGCCATCAGCCTTTAGTTTTACATTGAACACCCACTTGCAACTGATTGTTATCTTTCATTTGGTAAAGAAACTAGCTCCCAAGTGTTATTGCTTTGTAGTGGTACCATTTCTACATTCATAGCAGCTTTCCACTTTGGATCATCCAATGCTTCCTGCACACTATTCGAAATACATACACTAGATAATTGATTAACAGTTAGAGCACATGATTCAGATAGGTTTTGAGTATATACATAGCTGCTAATTGGGTATTTGGTTTATACTTTAGGATTTGGTTCATAAAAATGTTGAGGAATGCCCTTAGTTTGACGAAGAGATCTTCTGACCTGTGGGGGGATTATGAGGTACAATAGGTATTGATAAATTAGTTTGTGTGTCACTAACCTATTCAGTGTGCCTTTCTGGGATGTCCAAAGGTGATACCTCAGGTGTGGAAGCTAGACTCGGTGTTTCAAGAGAATAAGAAGTACCTGTGAGGCTAGGAGATGAGCTAGGAGTAGGAACTAAAGAAAAAAATGGTGCAGCATGGGTATTCTAGTTAGAGAGACGAATTTCTGCTTCTTCAAACTGATCTAGGACATGCTCCCCCTGAGAAGAAGAAACTGAGTCTCCCCTGAGTAGTATGATTCAGATTCATGGAAGGAGACCTCCAAAGAGACATACATTTTATGAGATATTGGATCAAAACACCTATACAACTTTTGAGAATCAGAGTAGCCAACAAAGATACAATTTTTTGCACAAAGGTCCAGCTTTGAGCGAAGAGGCTTGGGAAGATAAACATAAGTGGTGCAACCAAAGATTCGGGGTTCAAGATTGATGACATGAGAAGAGAAAATATGAGGAGTTTTGAAGTGAAGAGCACTCGAAGGAGTCCTATTTAAGAGATAAGCAGCAGAGACAACGGCTTCCCCCCCACCAAAAAAAGGAGGAACATTCATGTCAAATAAAGAAGCACGAACAATTTCCAAAAGTTAGCGATTTCGCCTCTCAGCCAGTCCATTTTGCTAAGGAGTATACAAACAAGATGATTGATGTTTTATCCCATGAGGTACCAAAAAAATCAAAGAACAACCCATTCATATATTCCAAACTATTGTCAAAATAAAAAATTTGGATTGAGGAGGAATACGGATTCTGTACCATGCATGAAATTTTTGAAAGCTGGAAATACATCATTTTTATGTTTAAGCAAGGTGGTCCACGCCATTCGATTGCATTCATCAATAAAAGATACATAATAATATGATTTAGAAAAAGAAGAAACTTTAGAGGGACCCCATACATCAGAGTGCACAACTTGGAAAGGAATAGAACTTTTATTAAAGCTTGGATAAAAGGGAATACGATGGCTTTTAGCCATATCACAAACTTTACATTTAAAATCAGCAACATTTAACTTGACAAATAAATCTGGAAATAATTTTTTGAGATAACTAAAGGATGGATGACTAAGTCTCTTGTTCCAAAGCCAAACCAAACTTGAGTTAGAATTCGAAGTAGAAGTAGCAGAAGCAGAGGCGGGGGAAGAGATACCACCATTTGAGGAATCCAGGAAGTACAACTTGTCGTGTCTAACACCATAACCAAGGATCTCCTAATTCTGGTTTCCCTGAAAGACACAAAAATTAGGCCAAAAAATAACTCTGCAATCCAGTTGAGAGGTTAACCGACTTACAAACAAAAGGTTAAATTCAAGAGAAGGTACTACTAAAAC